GGAGCAGCAGATGAAGTGATAGTTGATGGTTGCATTGTTGAAATTATAGTTGTTTGATGATGAACTAAATTAATGATTAACAAGATTTACAAATGGACTTCGGGCTTATTTATACACAATTTCAACTTGAGGATACATTTTATTTGTTACAATGGGATCTTGGTTTTGGGGTTGATGATGGTATTGGTGGTGGTTTTGATTAAACTTTGGGATTTCCTAATCGGGATGACACAAAAGATCATGGTCAAATTTTAACGAATATAGCTGCAATGGATACTCAAATAAGAATCTAATATTACTATTTCAGGCAACATGGTTTAAGCTCCAGATCTTATTATGCTTGACTATGTCAGATTTGAAGAGGATGCGAGGGTTTGATTCAATGGCTAACCTCATTTTCAAAAGTATTCGTATATTGTCACCGACAATGTGAGCTAAGGTACAATATTGGTTCTGATCAAAGGGTTGATCGTGGCCAATTAGTTTGAATGCTTTGATAATTCATTAATAATTCCTTGAAACATATGATTTATGGCATACAACAATGATAATTCTGGTTTCTTTCCAACTGATTAGTCATCAGAACTAGAGTTAGATTTTTTCTGATGAGACGATGTGTGAAGACATCTTGACACTTTTAGCTGTTGAGATAGATAAAGCAGGATTGAGATTCTTTTAGACTACGCTCAAAGGTATAAACATCCAAAGATATAATAATATTAAAGATTAAATATAGGAAATGGTAAAGGTTTATTGATATGATTTGGCAGCAGAAGAAAGCTATAGCAACAGCAAAGTTGACATATCTTCAAAAATCAATACCATTCTCAGGAACAAATGAAACGAGCAAGAAGGAATTAAAAATAATTGGATAGTTCATTGAGCTTCAGCTTAAGCAATGGTACAAGTGAACCAGATAGCACCTGGACCAGTACCACCCCAGACAAATTGATCTTGGTTGTCAGTGTTTTCTTTTGGAGCAGCAGATGAAGTGATAGTTGATGGTTGCATTGTTGAAATTATAGTTGTTTGATGATGAACTAAATTAATGATTAACAAGATTTACAGATGGACTTCGGGCTTATTTATACACATTTCCAACTTGAGGATACATTTTATTTGCTACAATGAGATCTTGGGTTTGGGGTTATAGATCTTATTAGATCTTTTGGTGGTGGTTTCGGTTTGACTCTGTCATTTCCTAATCGGGTTGACACAAATGGTCGCACATGCAAAGTCGAAAATTTCACGAGAAAAACAGAAATTTACAGATCTTGAAACTATCTAGAAAGGGAAACCTCTATAATGTGAACCGATTGTTTTATTACTTTTGGGTAAGGTGGTAAATGGGTCTGGTTGAAAGATATGTTTTACAGATTGTGCCCCATTTGTTGTTAAGGATATTGCTGATTTAGTAAGCCAAGTCATGACCAGTAGCTGAATGATAGCTGTGTCTTTTACTGGTGTTTGATCATCGCTCTTGCTGTTGACTAGTGAAATTGCAGGAACAACTTCTATTCAGTCATTTGAACTCCCTATATCCCGAGCACTGCTTGATCTATTTGATTTATTTGAGGTGGTGATTAGATGATAGGATATGAATTATCTAATCATTCAATTTAATTTGTGAAATCATTGAAATCATCTTGAGACGTTATTAAATCCTACACGATTATAAGTTATTGATATCAATTATATTTGTGTTATTAAAAATTAAATATTAGTGATAATGGAATAAAGACAACAATTAGAACACCAGCAGGTCAACAACACCAACAAGAGATATTTATTGAAATGAGCTATTATGAATTGCAAAGCCACTAATAAACCACTTTGAGCTGAACATAAAGAACGGGAAATAGAAATAAAAGAGGGAAAATTTGTTGATGTTTGCTAATCATGACCAGTATAGTTGAATTAAGCAATGGTACAAGTGAACCAAATAGCACCTGGACCAGTACCACCCCAGACAAATTGATCTTGGTTGTCAGTGTTTTCTTTTGGAGCAGCAGATGAAGTAATAGTTGATGGTTGCATTGTTAAAATGATTGTTATTGTTTGATGATTTACAAGATAGAATTATTTTAGCTTTCCCTGAGAAAACTCGTTCCTTTTTATAATCATTTTCATTATGAGGTTTGAAAATACTGATAAATCTGTTTTCACTAATAAAAAAAGTTTGATTAGACGTTGAGTTTTGAGTGAAGTCTGTAATTTCCCGATTCGGATGACACAAAAGATTTTGTTGATTTGATGGAGTGAACAAAAAGTGCAGTGCTTTTGAAAAACCAAGAAATTTGATCAATTGGGACTTTAGGTTTACTGTTTTGGAAACAAGATCAAGACAATAGTTGTTTTGGTTGTTTCGAGTTCGTTTTAGTTTCAGCAAAATTTCTAAATCCTTCAAGTACAATAGAGATAATCAGATCTCATCTCATGAGCTCTTTGATCATTGAAATGCATGCACTCTACCACATTTGGAAGTGTTCAGACCCGATTTAGAGGTACGTGTAACTATGGTCAATCAATTGATGTTCATGATATGGTTACTATTGAAATATATTGCAACATGTTTCTTCTTGTTAATGAAAACCAATATCATAGAAGTCATTGTACAAGGGCCTTTTGTTAATATTATTGATAAGAGAATGATCACAGTTAACGTGAAGTTTCTGCAAATCATGTACAATGTAACTACGTCCAGTTAATTACTACGTACTTCATTATAACGTCGATATTTACAAACACGTCGACTGCTAGTGTAATACAGGATTTCGGCGTACAATATATGCGCAGACCTTGTTAGATGTTAGATGTTCAAAAGACGAATACAAATAATTAGTATATAAGCGTCCACTGTACTTACTATACCTATATTATGAAGAAGTCATGAGTAGTTAACAGAGTATATTTGCCCTCCGCTCTAGTTCGACTGGCGTATATAGGATTAAGCGACGTAACATAATAGATGAGCAGCTTCAAGACAATATCTTCATATCGTATATAAGTTATACCTTATACCTCATGGCTGGAACTTGGTAATTCACCATTTGTACTCATCGTTCGCATAGCTCTGTAAACTTGAATACTACTACGTAGAGCCCAAAATCTGGGGTAAGTGATGTACTAATTATAATTTGCCTGAGATCCTTACCGATCCGATCCGATATATCAGAACAGAGAACGTACAGATACAAAATACTTTTCGATATCCAGGCTAGCTGCAACTCTTCTCGTGTTGAGATTTCCCTAGAAATTGAGTCTCCACTGTCAAGCTATATACAGGCTAGCTAGTGCTCAAATGGATGGAGCTAATATTCAATTCACATCTTCTAAGATGATGCTCGAGGCCAAATTATAACCAATTATAATCAAATTGCAAGCTACCTTTCCTTTTCATTGTTTTAATATCCATGAGTTATGGCATTGGTGTTCACCTACGTTGGTTTGTCGTACGATTTGAAGTCCAAACAAAGTGTAGATCGATCATTAATTTACTAAATCGGGAGGTTAATGTTGATGTTTTCGATGAGCTTGTTCAAAGTTCAAACCCCTGCATCCTAGGCCGGCGCACTTGAAGGACCTTCTGTTTAGAGAGCGGCGAAGGAGGTTTCTCGAAGGACCAGACACAGTTTTACGCAGGTGTGAATTTTTGGTCCTAGTCAAATTCTGGCCGTGTAGGGCAAAAACTTGAACCAGAACAACTGGGACCGAATCAGAGTCTTCTTTTTAAAGGTCCAAATAGAATGGAAAATTTTTCATTGGTAATTACAATGTCTGACGTTATTCAATCTCAAGGGTAACGTTAGTAGTTTTGGTGAAATAAAAAAAGAGAGCAGGTGTTCTAGGTTTCTTGCCGACACCTGTTGATACATTTCTTTCAGGTTAGTTAATACACTGAACCGTGGACCGTGCTCAGTTCACCTCAGCCTTTTCAAGGCAATAAGAGGAAAAACACGAAGAACCAAGACTTTTACTCTGGGCCAAGAGGGCTCAGCCCAGAGTACTAGGATAAGACTGGGATTCTTTTATCGTAAAAGAAGTTAGAACAGTCAACTTTCAAGTAAGCATTATTAATTGTTTTACACGAATTCTAGTAGTAGATGGCAGTTCGCGACAGCCACGATGAAGGCAAAAAAGCGCAAAAGAAAGAAAAAAACAGTCTCATTCTCAAATATAATTTGGTCATGATTAATGAAGACTAAGAGTAGAGCATTAATTTGTGTTTAGTAATTTGCTTATTTTTTAGTGGCAATGTGCACTTCACATTGTAAAACTCCAAAAGTTCCATCTTCTGGAAGTCTTGAAGTCTTTCTAAGTTTCGCCCCCGTTTCACCGCAAGCAACGAGCCCAGCGGAATGTTCGCTAGGCAGAAAACGTGAATGTGCTGGGCAGGCCCTCTGTCTGGAGCTCCCCCTGGAAATTGTCCCGGTCCCTGCGTAATTTCCTTCCTCCAACAACAACTTGAATTTTTTTTTTGCCCACAGTCAATTTTCATTTAAGTAGCCGCCAAAATCAGCAAAAAAAAACGTAGCCAAAAATTTTTTAAAAGAATTTTAACGTAAAGAGAGAGATTTACTTTGAATTTAAAGCCTCGAAAGCTCTTCATATCCACTATCAGGTATTTACATCACCTCAAGATCAAAAGGGTCAACAAAGTCTCGCGCTTGCCGTGCTGATTAGTCTGTTTCCTCAAGTGGTTGTTATTCTGCCAATTTCAACCAAGAGATTTTACCTCATCAACAATAAACAACAAAGAACCACAGAGTTACAAGAGCAAAGCATACACATCGGCTCTTTGGTGATCAGTCAAGACAAGAAGCTGTTATAAGAGTTATCAACATTCATTAATAAGTCTAATTTGACCTCTGCTTCAACCGCTTCATTTTTGTTCATTGATTGCTGCTCTATTCACCATATTTCTAGCATTTTCATAGACTCCGATTGATAGAAAAGCTAGACACTAGTTTTAATCCACATTCACTACAACATAGATCATAATCATACACTATGGGTTCAACTGTTGATCATAGACCAAGAAAGTCAACTTTAAGTAAGATCGGTAAGATCTTTGGTGTCTCTGATAAACAAGACCAGGAAGTTCAATCTCCAATATCAGATTCATACCAAAATTCTAAAGAACATTATACTACCTCTTCATCATCATCTGCATCACATCCTCCTCCAAACAATTATACAACAAATCCAAGATCCGCTAGTTCAAGCTCGAATCCAAATTCAATCTCTTCATTGAATAGTTCAAGCTCATCGGTCAATCAAATGGTAGAATTTGAAAAGCCAAAAACTCCATCAAGAGCAGGTTCGAGAACCCCATCAAGAGCTCCTTCGAGAGCTTCAAGTATAAATCATAAACACCAAGCACCTTCCCATGCAGTGATAAATGAAGAACTATCGAACTTGAAATTGAACAAATCTTCCAAAAAAGCTTCCTCAAATCCTGCCCAAATATCTGAAACATCTGCATCTCCACCTCACAATCTCAAACCTCCAACTCCAACAGGTGCTGTTAATTCTTCAACATCACAAATCCCTACCCCAAACCTGTTGAGCAGATCTTCGTCAACTGCATCCACAAATCACTTAGGTAATGCTAATAATTCAAGTTCAGCAAATTTGAAAAACCTACCCAGATTTTTGGTTTATGAAGATGGTAGCCATGAACATCATTTAAGAAATGCCAAAAGACAAGAGAAATTGGGTAATATGTTGAAGAATCTATTAGGTGCTCAGAAATTAAGAGATGAAGCGGTTAGTGCGGTCCCTGAAATCTTATCAAATAATCCACCTTCATTATTTTCTGGGTTAGTTAATCAATTCTCTAATGTCAAACAACATGAAGAGAATTTCCCGTTTAGTGGAGCCACTAGAGTTCAAGGTGTTCAAGCTTCAGCTAATTCAACTTCCCATTCTAAAACTTTTGTTGAAAGATATGGTAGATGTCAAGAAGTTATAGGGAAAGGTACTTTTGGTGTCGTTAGAATTTCTCATAAAAAATTCAATAACAGTGAAAAGGAAACTTTATTTGCTGTTAAAGAGTTCAAGAGAAGACCAACTGAAACTGAACAAAAATACTCAAGAAGGCTAACGTCAGAATTCTGCATCTCTTCATCATTAAAACATGTTAATATCATCGAAACTTTAGATTTACTACAAGATGCTAAAGGTGATTATGTTGAAGTTATGGAATTTTGTTCAGGTGGTGATTTGTATACGTTGATTATTGCAGCTGGTAAATTGGAATACTTGGAAGCTGACTGTTTTTTCAAACAATTGATTAGAGGTGTTGTTTATATGCACGAAATGGGTGTTGCACATCGTGATTTGAAACCAGAAAATCTGTTATTAACAGAGAAGGGTATTTTGAAAATAACTGATTTTGGTAATGGTGAGTGTTTCAAAATGGCTTGGGAAAAAGATATTCATTTCAGTGGAGGTATTTGTGGTTCAAGTCCGTATATTGCACCAGAAGAATATACCACAAAAGAATTTGATCCAAGATCTGTTGATATTTGGGCTTGTGGTGTTATATATATGGCCATGAGAACTGGTCGTCAATTATGGAGAGTTGCTAAAGACGAGGATGAGTTTTACTTGAAATATTTGGAGGGCCGTAAATCCACTAAAGGTTATGAACCTATTGAACATTTGAAAAGAGCAAGATGCCGTAACGTTATTTATTCAATATTGGATCCTGTTCCAAGTAGAAGAATCAATGGGAAACAAATTTTAAATAGTGAATGGGGTAGAGAGATTAAATGTTGCATTTAAGACAACCATCCATTCATTTAATGACATTTTTTATCATTTTATTATCATATGTTTGCATTATCAAAGGGGATTTTAAAAAAGAAAGAAAGGATATCATCAGTATTATATTTTAACTAAAGAAAGAGAATTCTAAAGAAAGATACTGTACTATTATAATTTCTAAACTGTTGACTCAGCTTATTGTTTTAATTAGTCTTGTTTCATTTTTTTTTATCCATGTACTTCATCACCATTTCACGAATTTTACGATCAGTTATTATATTAGTTTGTTATTTATTAATGTTTATGTACTACTATTATTGCAAAGAGGACACTAGCTATATTTGAACTAGTGTAGTAAATTGTAGTGAATAGTGAAACCGATTTGAAACGGAAACTCCATCACAGAAGTGCGCGAACCGAGTTGTTCTTGGTTTGTGGAAGAGAGAAAAAGGATCATCAAAGTGAAATCGTATTTCTAATGACTTGGAAATATACAATTCAGTAAAAACAACATAGTGCAATAATATTCAATTCGGATCAAGATGAGTTGGAATGGGTTTAAGAAAGCCATCAATAGGGCTGGTCAACAGGTATGTTTTGTCTGGGTTTGTTTTGATTCCGTAAAGTGTTGATGAAGCTGGCTGAGTGAACATCAATAGGAGAATGGAATAAACGATAAGCTATACAGAATGGATATTAACTAGCAGATAATAGGCTTTTATCAAAAATACTGATAGAATGAGCGATAAAGATTATGACATTGAAGAACGTCGTTATAGAACGTGAGTTTGAAATATTGTTTTGCCTTCAATTCTGTGATGAGAATACTAACACACATCAAACAGCTTGGAAAAAGCCGGTAAAGATTTAGAGAAAGAGGCCAAAGGCTACCTTGATTCATTAAGAGCCATGACGCAATCACAAGTCCGTATTGCTGAAGTCATTTCTTCATTATATGATGATTCAAAATCTATGGGTGGTAGCTCAAATGTTGGTAACTATTATTTACAATGTGTCCAAGAATTTGATAGTGAAACTGTTAAACAATTAGATGGGCCATTCAGAGAAACAGTCTTGACACCAATATCTACATTTGCGCAATATTTTAGTGAAATTGATGATGCTATCAAGAAGAGAGCACATAAGAAGGTTGATTATGAAGGCGCAAAGGCAAAAGTGCGTAGATTAGTTGATAAACCAGCAAAAGACGCCTCAAAGTTACCAAGAGCAGAAAAGGAACTACAGTTGGCCAAAGAGGTTTTTGATCAATTGAACACACAATTAAAAGAAGAATTGCCACAATTGATTTCATTAAGAGTTCCATATTTCGATCCAAGTTTCGAAAGTTTGGTTAAGATTCAAATGAGATTCTGTACTGAAGGATATACAAGATTGGCCCAAATACAGAACTATTTGAATCAACAAGATAGAGATGATTATTCACAAGGTGTTCTTGATGATAAGATCAGTCAGTTATTAGTTGAGATGAGTCAACTTCAAATAGCATCATTGGGTCAAAAATGAGCCACATCAGTTAACAGTCACATCTTCCATTCCTTTCTATTTAGTCCTTAGTTTTCTTTATTTTGTTGTGTATAAATAAAATGCTTTTAATTATGAGTATTTTAACTGTAAGCCCTCGGTTAGTTCTCCACCAGTCGTTTTTTGTTTTTCGTGAAAAGGATTTTAGGAAAATCTTTAAAAAAACGACAAAGACGCTGCTTCCAAAACAAGCCGTGATACATCCAAGACAGTAGGGGGTTTCCAAAGACGCAGCCAGGAGTCAATTGATCATTGGAAGTCAGCCATTAGTAGGCGAGGAAAGAGTTGCCATTGAGAGAGACGTGAAGCCTACAATCCAGAAGAAGGCGTCTAATTTAACCGTTTGTTTTTCATTTGATTGGGTAGTAATAAGGTCATAATACTTATCAGCAGATGGAAAGCTAAACCCAACATCGAACTGCATAATCAACAAAGAATTTAATTTTTTTGAGAAACAATGTTTGAGTTCCTTTTGTTCCTACGGTCATTATTTCAAGTAATCTCGGATTACATTTACAATCACCATATCAGTAAACTAAGGAAATATTATGAAAAGTTGTCATTCAACATCACAAAGAACCAACGGGCTTTCATCATATGGCCTGTTTCAATTGCCTTCATACTCTCATACCCTGCTATATATTCACTATACACTTCACCTGACTCATTAGAGAATTCATACATCACAGATTTACAAAACATAGGGATCGGAATCCAATCCACAAGCTTCCAGGATCCTGAATCAATAGATTCAAATGCACTACTGCTGAAACAACTTTGGATTGCACCTAGTAACCTAAAGGCTTTCCAGAATGGGTACGATATTGATAGCGGTGCTTTAGATAAAGGATTTCTTGTTGATGCTTTAAAACTACAAACTGAGTTATTAGACGGTATCAACCAAAGTGAAGATTCATTTGCATTTGTCCATACACCGTTCCAGTACTGGGACAATGATTTAGAGAGGCTCAAGTCAGATAAGTTCCCATTGAGAGTTCTACAGAAAAATTCAGCAAAAACGAATTCTTCTGGTGTTAGTTTATCTCATAATGGGTTATTCTCGGGGATTGTTAAAATTAATGGTCTAATCAAATCTGCTCAAGCTATAAGGATTTTGATATTTTACAAGAGTGGGAAACAGAATAATCTGGATGCTGGTAAGATATGGGATTCAAACTTAAAATTAATAAAAGAAAGTAATACAAATTCAAAGTTTTTTTTATCTGAAGTTGGCCAAGATGATCATAATGTCAAAACATTTTTGTTAAAGTTGACAAAGATGAACTCAATAGATCATTTCATTTTAACAACTTCTTATGTTTTGATTGCTCTTTATTTTGTGATATCACTATCAAACTTAAGATCGGTGAGGTCTAGAATTGGGTTGTTATTTGCATTTATTGTTGAGCTAACCCTGGCAGTTTTGTCCTCTGCAACACTTACAACTTACTTTTTCCAAGGTGTTGACTTTTATCAAATTCCTTTACAATTCTTACCATTCGTTGTTGTCGTGGTTGGGATTGAGAACATGTTTAGACTGGTGACTCTTTTATCAGAGACACCAGGAGAATTGTCCATATCTTCAAGAATGTCAAAGGCACTATCGGGGTCTGGTATCACTTCAACTTTAATTGTTTTTTGTGATCTTGTTATATTGAGTCTCATTTATCCCATTGTTGTTCCAAATACAAAACAATTTTGTATCTTTGCTTCATTTGCTTTGATTATTGACCATATACTTCATCTCACCTATTTTGCTGCTGTGTTGAGTATTGATGTCCACCGCTTGGAGCTACATGATCTATTAAATAATGATTCTCATTTCAAAGTCACAGAAAAGAAGAGATGGTACTATTCATTATTTGATACCAAAAGGCGCACAAGTTTGGTGGATTCCTTGTCAGAGAACGAAGACCAGATTACAGTTTCCTCAGTTGCTAATAGCTTGAAGAACTTCATTTTAAAGATCAAGTTACCATTCTCAACAACAGTCACTGGTACCTTAGTCATGATCATGTTTTTAATTGGAACCAATATCAGATGGACAGACGATAGCTTAAAGTTACCTCTTGTTGGTAAACCAAAGCAAGATTTCGGCTTATCTACTTCACCACAAGAATTTTCCACTCATATTCAAACTTATACTGAGACTCAATATGATCTTGTTTGCTTTTTGGATAAGAAAAGTTTCAGTACTGAAATCTTCAAGCTCTTAGAGAATGTCAATCAGCAAGACTTTTCAAATGTTTTCATAGCTGTTTATAATCCAGTTGTTGCTTTGTATGGTGAAGGTGATAAGGTCAAAACAATGTCAGAAATTTCTTTCAATTTGAATACTACATACAAGTTTGATCTCTATTACATACTAGAGTTCCTAACCTCATTGGCTTTCATATTATCAATCGCGCTGGTGATTTTGAGATCGCTTGCTCCAGACTCTATTAATGATACTGGAGATGAATTAAAGAAGCAAGTCATTGAGGAAGATCATACATTTCAGTCAAAAGTTTTAAGTGGTGGCCATTTCCTTGATATTATAAAAATCACAACTTCACGTTCACCATTTATCGTTTCTGTTGGGCTGGACCATAAAGTCCTTGTTTGGTCTCCAGTGTCACAACCCATGCCAATTCCATCTCAACTACCTATTTCATCAAATATATGGCCAATCACACATGTTGTACTGAGTGATCATGGCAACTACATTTCAGTGTTTTCAAAGACTGGTGCTATTCAGTGCTACTCAAGATTGACAATGACCTGGGTTTGGAAGATAGAAATTGAAGAATTGAAAAACAATCAACCACTTGAGGCCTTCTTTAGACATAAAACTATTCCAGCTTTTTTACAAAGAAAAATGGCTGCAGATCTATTGCAGCAAGCCAGATCAACACCAAGCTCCAGACGAAACAGTATGAGGTCGATTGCATCTCCAAAATTGGGCCCAACAATGGCATTTGCTAATAATGCTGGTGTTAATAAAGATTTAGAGGAATTAGTAATTGTTTTGAAAAGCGGACAGGTTGCTGTGGTGTCATGTGAAGATGGTTCAATTAAAAAGGAGAAGTTGAGTGCCGCACCTTTGGTTTCAAGTGGTAAGTTGGTCACACCAAGAGTTAATGATAGATTGGTTTCGTGCACTGAAGATGGGAAACTTTTATTGTCCACTGCTGTTAACAACAAATGGAAAACTAGAATTGTTAGAGTTGACGAGGAGAAATTTAATAACCCAAATATTACTTTATCTGGATCACATACTCTACCATATATCAAAGAGGAAGAAACACCTGAGCAAAGTGCCAAACTGAACTTGGAGTTCAGAAAGTCTAGTATTGCTATTGTTCCTTTTGTGGGGTTTATTGTCAGAACTCATGGTTGTTGCGCTGAGATTATTGATGTCCAAACTGGAATTTTAATCAAAAGGTTTAAGATTCGTCAATTCAAGAAGAATACCCTAAGAGTATTTCATGACCAACCTACACATTGTCGATTCTGTGGTTCTGTATCAATTTCATCATTCACTGTTGTATACACTACAGAAAATAACAGTGTTGTGATGCACACTTTTAATGTTGACCATAGGGCAAAAACCAGTATTTGCCTTCGTGTGGAAAGAGATCCAAGAGAAATCAGATGTGTTGGGTTTAATTCTGTTACAGAACATCAACATGAGTTAGGTAATGCTGAAGGTTGGACAACCACAGACAAGAACCAAATTGTCGGAATAAGGCGGAAGACCGAAGAAGAGGTTAAAGAATCACTTAATGAAACTAGAACATCAACTTTAAGAAAGAGACGTGCTCAACATCATCAGCATCATAGCGACGAGAACGCTCCAAGACTACATGACTTATGGGAAGGTTGGGCTATGAGTGCCGATGGAAAAGTCGACTACTACGATATTCCAGATGTTGGTAATGCAGGCGGGTTGTTGGTTAATAGTATTGGTCAAATAAACAGGTTTGGTCACAAATCAATTGTCGTTGCATTTGGTAATATCATGCAGGTGTTATATTTGGGTAATGATGACTTGATCTACAATGATGAAGACAAAGGGGCAACTAATGAAATCAGTGGTCTGTCGTTTGTCAATAAAAGAAGAAAGAACCTGAAGAGAACCGATATGACTTCTACAAACTTTAGTGAGGTTGATGCTATTCCTGGGATTTCAGAATTAAGCTTATGATGGGAATTTGGCCTTCATAACGGTGAAGATGGCTCAACTGTGCATCATAACTAACGTCATTAATGATACTTAATAAACATATACTTTATATGATATCCCTTTATAGATCATACTTTCTATTAATTAACTACTTTTTTACGACGTCGTCTGCGAGCTCTCGGTGAATTATATTATCACTGGGCAATTACGCAAGTTGCATATACGTATAGTTATAAGACCATCCACTGCACGCGAGAATCTGCTTAGAACATCAACAGTGCTCGATTGTAACCACTGAAATCGAAAGAACCTTCAAAAAAAGACTCAGGCGCCATTTTGACATAGAAACATTACAAAAAAATGGTACGGGCAGCAAAAAAGAAATGCACTCACGCTGGGGGTCGAACCCAGAATCTTCTGATTAGAAGTCAGACGCGTTGCCATTACGCCACGCGAGCTTGTTCTTGTCAAAAAGATCTTGCCAAGCAACCCCTTATGCCTCCCGGCCGGGTAACTTTTGAATTTTACCCGTATATTTCGTAATCAAGATTCGAACATCAAAGCTCGCGTGGCGTAATGGCAACGCGTCTGACTTCTAATCAGAAGATTCTGGGTTCGACCCCCAGCGTGAGTGCATTTCTTTTTTGCTGCCCGTACCATTTTTTTGTTTTATTGGGCTTGCAATAGCTTAATTATATTGTTGGGAGAGCGACGTGGATTAAATTTTTGTTATTTTTACTAAAATAATTAATTTATTGCCCAGAAGCTTTCATCATATTAATTGACGTCAGATCCATGAGTGTTATATATATATTATAAGTTGGACGCGGACATAGAGACATGCTTAAATGATACTCACGCTAATAACAATATGCTGCACCATCATGTATTTACTATACTAATTGATCATATAATTGACTGTACCTTATGTTAAGAATATGATATGGGCTGTGAAGCACTGATCCCCATGGTTGCCGTATTAATTTCATATCTCGTCTAACGTCTCCTCTCTAGGTGTATTGGCCGAAGTTGACATCAATGTTTGAGATATTGAGTAGCAGAGATAAAACATTCGCTTGAAAATTACTGCGTATGCAACACAGTATAACCAATGACCTAAAAATTCACATTGGCTTTCCATATGGCCTCAAGAAAAATAATTGATCTTAAATTTGAGCTGACTTTGGCCAAATTATTGAACCCACACTTGAAATCATCTTGGGCTACCGTCAAGTTTTTGACGTTTCCGATACATATATAGCCTGTACTTATACTCACATGTAACAATTGGCATGGAAATATCACTAGCATGGTCTCACAAGCTTCATAGCAGCACCGAACTTCCACCAAAAGATGAACACAAGTATTGGTGAGGTTTGTATGATATCATGCAACCTACTTTCAATGGAAGCCATTGAAGTCACATTCTCATGCTCTTGTTTCATCAAAGTCTAGAGTAATGGAAGTGCATTATGATATGATCATCAAGAAGTTGAACGTGACTCAATTGGGTGAAAGCACTGGGTGTATCAAACGTTTCACTCAAGTATGAAATAGCTTTAAGTATAGTTTATGAGTGGATAATTAAATCATGACCTCAGTGAAATGGATACTTTGACCCCAAGGACCAGCAATGCAAATTTAGCCAGGAATAGTTTTGGGTAAATGTATGATAGCACTCTCAGTCGTTCATCCAACAACGTAAGAGTGGTTGGGAACAAACGTAGTTTGTACCAAATACAAAATCCTTAGACTGTTGGAACCTCTCATTGATCTTTGGTGATAGTAGACGAGATGTAGATTAAATCAAGCATCACTCACTCTTCTATAGTATTTGAGGTCTTCATGGAATATTCCATGCCACAACTCACAAATATTCAAGGGAATCACAGCGACAGCACTTCCAAAACTTAAGCTTATTAATTGGACCTCAATGTGATAACCAATCTCCATTGGTTGGGATAGGAAACTTGACAACCTTTGCCCCATTCAATACAACCTTCAAGTTTGGATAGCCATTTCCGAGTCGAAGAGCAATTCCAGTCACCAATCAATGACACCATAATCATCTAGCACGTATCAAAAAGGACACCAACATCGAACTTCAGTTCCCATAAGCCATTCAATTCGTTTTTAAAAAAATTAGAAATATGAAGAAAGTGTGCTTCTATGAGAATTCTTGAAAGAAAAATACGCGAAATCACCTTGATAAGGAAAGTTCCTCTTTTGAGGGTTGATTATATAAGCGTACACATGCACAACCTAGCAAAAAGGTCACTTTTCAATGATGTTAGGTTTTAAGATGATATTAGGCTAAATGCCTTGGTTACATAATTAGTTGATAAGCATTTGTTATGTTGGATGAAATCATGTCGTTAATCGTTGTGGAACTACGAATTATGTTATTTGATGTCATAGCATGGCTATGAGTATCTGGTAAATGTTGTTTGCTGAAAGATTATAAATATGGGTTCTATCCTTATGATAGTTCATTATAGATGTGTTTAGTTAAAAAGGAGTTGTTTAGTCTAGTTAACTGTACAATTAGTTTATTGGTTAATCATATTACTTCAGTGTGATCATGATCTATAATGGTTACGTTACAATTGGTATTCTGGCATACTTTGGTTATTGAACAAGAGAAGGAAAGCTAAAAGTTGGTAGCGCCTCTAGGACATTCACATCAGGTTGAGTCCAAATCAAATTAGTCATTCATCAAGTTTTTGTTTCATTTTTAATTTAGCTGTTGTTTTCAAAGATGTCAAGTTTATAGGTTTGTCAATTGTGCTGAAGTGGCTAGCTATTCAATCTCCTTGCCAATATACTGAAGTTTGGTTATTGGTTAAATTGATCCCCAGTTATTTTTATTTTCATTTGCTGTTATTTTTGTTGCTCAAATTGTTGTCTATTTGCCACTTTGTTGTTTTGTTAAGAGATTTGTTATTGTTATTTTCAATGCTTCTGAATCAAAATACATTTTCATTATTGAATTATTATTATTATTATTGGATTATTGTTATTCCATTTATTATTATGAGCCAGAGTTAAGAAAGTCCACAAAGTGTTGGCGCTCTAAGGCAAATCAATCATATCATTATAAGACAAATGAAGTCTATTATTAAATCAATCAAATCAAGTATTATGAAATGTTTTGAAGCTATCATTATTATTATTAATTGTTGAATCAATTTTATACAAATATCTCGTTGTTATATCAAATCAATCAAATATTAAATTGAAAAGAAATATTGAATTATTGAAATGAAAAGTGAGCATTATAATTAGAAGTTGAATCTATTATTATTATCATTATTGAAAATGTTATGAGCATACAAGTTTTGTGCTATTGAGTTAGTTACTGGTTACTTGTTAATTATGAAAACTGAATAATTATTATTAGTTGAATTATACTGAGAGATCCAAATATTTTGTTGAATCGTCATTAGACATTATTTGAAATTATTATTATTCTTCACAGAATGCTGAAGAGGTTATTTTATTAAATCTACTGTGAGATGAATTAAATTTATTGAGCATACATTGTTCATTGTTGAACCATTCTTACCTCATCATAGGAAGATGTTATTTTAAATTAAATTAAATCTATTGAACTTATATTGTTCATTGTTGAATTAATCTTACCCAACCATAGGAAGATATTATTTTATTGGAATTTTGTTGAACGTTATTACTGAATTATTATTGTTTTGGAAAGTTATTATTATGTTGATGTTTTTCATATACCATTATGGCTCAGGTTAGGATTATTAAGTCACTGAAAGCTACATTATTATCACAATTACATTATTACTATTGGTATTACATCATGACCAAGTTAGATTATCATATCTCTTGAAAGTCAATCAATTATCATTACACTTTGTTATCATATCCATTCAATTAGTTCATCAAATTATATTCCATTTATTTTTAAAAATTAGACCATGTTATTAGATTATTATATCATTGAAGGTCGTTCTATTTTGGTACAGCTTTGTTTATTATTTTTATCATATTCAATATGTTATTTTAAATGTTGGTTACTTTGTCTATTTTTGGTATTTGGTTTTATTTTATTATCTTTGGCACAAGTTGGTTCTTATTTCAAGTCAATACTACTATTACAATATATTATTATTGCTAAGAAGGTCTTCACATATACTACTCAATCAATTTAAAGCAAAAAGGAACCTGCCAAGGTCAGCAAATCAACCATAATTTGTTATTATTTAGCCCCTGAAAAGGCTTGCCAAGGTCACAAACCCAAAAA